CGGGGCAGCGGCCGTCACAGTAAGCCGAGGGCCGGGCTGGGACTCGCCCCCCTGGGGCAGGCGGGCTGCCCACCCTGCGCCCTCCCCCAGGCCCAGATGATCTTCCTCAACTGCGGCCACGTGTGCTGCTGCCAGCAGTGCTCCCAGCCGCTGCGCACCTGCCCGCTGTGCCGCCAGGAGATCGCCCAGCGCCTCCGGATCTTCCACAGCAGCTGAGCTGGCCACGCCGCCGCCGCCTCCAGCCCAGGGCTTCCGCTTCCCGCTTGGCCCGGCCCAGCGGCCTGTCCTGGGCCCCGCAGGAGGCCCCTCCCCACCCCCATCTCCAGCCAAATACTGTGAAGCAAGGGAGGCCTCGGGCCAGGGAAAGGCGAGGCGGCGGGGCCACAGCGGGACGCAGGACCCGTGTCCTGGCCACTCGGCTCTGCCACCTGCCCAGTCTGACTGTGGGGGGAGGGGAGCGCGGGGGCCCTGGCCGAGGGGAGGGGAGTCCATGCGGAACGAGGGCAGGCACAGAGCTTCTGTGCGCTGTCCGGGGACGTGTCCAGCGCAGACCCGGTGCCACTGTCGGCCCTCCTGGCCTCCTCCCCTGCTCCCCGAAGCGCCGGGCCCCTCCTGTGGGAGTTGAACCTCCTCCCCGATGCAGGGGGTGAGCTTTGCAGACCCAGCGCAGGGTCGTCAATAAATGCACCCCAGCCTGCTCCCCGAGTCATCACTGGCTCCCGATGAGCCTGGGGAGGGGCGAGAAGAGCGCCCAGGGCCTGGCGGTGCCGGGCTCCGAGCCCAACACCACGCGGCTGGGCAGGCGCCAGCCCTCGGCCCCAGGCAGCGGATACCTGTGCTTGCTGTGGACCGCACCTGTAAGTGCGTGTCCTGGCCAAGGGCAGCCTTCCCTTTGGGTTAGAGGCAGGCCTGGCTGTGCGGCTCACTGACCTGGCCGGCCTCCCAGCCTCTGTGTCCCTGGCCCATTCAATATGGGAGTGGAGCCCTCATTCAGGCTAGTGGCCACCAGGGGGCGCTCAGTGCTCACCTTGGTCTCCCCACCCCATTGGGGCCTCCAGTCCCGCGAGGTGAACCCGGACTTCCCAGGCAGGCACCGGCCTCCTCTGATACCGTCTCCCCTGGGGACCCGTGGTCATGTCCTGCCCCACACTCCCTCCTGGCTTCAGCCTGGCCAGGAGCGGAAAGCGGGGTGGGCACTTCCCAGGGCACCTCGTTTGGGCTCTCTGAATCTTCTCTCAGGCTGGGGAAAACTTCTGAACCCGGTTCACAGACAGGGGCCTGAGGTTGAGTTCGCCACGCAAGGACAGGAAGTCCACAGCTGAATCCCTGCTTGGCTCCCTGCTTCTAGGCCTCGCCTCAACCCCTGACAAGCTCTTGGCCGCTGGCCATGTGGGCAGCTCGCACCAGGAGAGCCACTGTCCCCAGCCTGGCCGCCAGTCTCGCTGGAGGGGCCTGTTCCCGCGTGGGTGTCACTGCGGGAGGGTGTCTGCACCGTGCCCTGTGCCTGTGTGCACGGCGGTGACGGTGCCCGGGTGGCGCCCAGCCCCCGGGTCTGCGGTCTGAGAGGCGTGGCCCACTGGACACTGGCTCTGTGAGCCCCGCAGGGCCGTGAGCCCGGGGCCCACCCCCGGAGGCTCCCCAGGCCCACGTGGCTCTGGAGTCGGACAGATGTTTTGGCCTCATGGTGCCCGAGGCTGCCTGAGGACCACCGCACGGACCCCTGAGCTGCCCCCGGTCAGTTGCCTATGCGCTCTGCTGCTTCTCTCTGAACCTCAGTTTGCTCCTCTGTGAAGGGGGTTAGGGCCGTGAGCTCAGGAAGCCAGGTGCAGGTGCGCCCGGCCGCGGCCGATGCCCTCCTGCTGCTCCCGACACAGACACGGGCCAAGGCCTTAAATAAAGCATTTATTGATTAGTAGAAGCTTAAACGGTTTGCATAATATTTTCAATACAATATCTGGGAAGGGTGGTCGGAAAACCCCAAAGAAGGCACTAGAGGCTTGAGACGGAATGTGTCGCTGGAACAGCTTAAGGATGCAACTGAGGTCAGGCTGGGCCGGGAGGGTCCCTGAGCGCCAGCCACCGCCACGTGTCCAGTGGGCCCCAGACCCAGAGAAGGGACTGGGGGGCAGAGGACACAGGGCTGGAGAGGGCCTCACCCCGAGGACCCCTAAGGTGTTGGGCACTCCTCTGCCCTCCCTCTCCTCAAGGCAGCAGGGGAGGGGTCTGGGGAAGCCAAAAGCTTCCAGGCCCTGGGGACAGACGGGGCCTGCCGGCCAGAATGCAGTAGCTTCGCCCGCACCCCCGGGACAAGGAGCTCAGGAAGGCAGACAGCTGGCC